CTACATGTATAACAATGGTTCGCGTGCAATCTGTAACTGATTATGCTCAATTTTATTCTTCCGTCCTGTCTTTAGTGCTTAATTAATTAAGCACACGGACAACGTTACCGCTACCCGTATTTATTTCATTCACTCCCTTCCTCCCCCTTATTTACGATTAAATACTTACTTTTATTGTAGAAAAATATTGTAAATACAAAAAGGCCTAGGCATTGCCTATACGGCCTTCTGCAACACATTCTTATAAATGTCTTATTCTATAATAGCTCACATCTTCTGACGACTAACACCATCTCTCCGAGACCGAGAACACTTAGCCCTCATGAAAACAATACGCAGTAACATAACAATGTTTCTCAAGAGATCCACGTCCCCTCAAGGCCAGAAAAACAGCGCAAAAGTACATAAAACTGGTTTATACACACTAAAACTGAACATGTCCTCTGTATAATAATATGTGAAATATCCATATAATTGAGACTATGAAGCAGGGAAGTTGATAATCGTTCAAGTGGACAACAAAATGCCTGTGTTCATTCCACTTTACACAAGATTCGACCAGTGAACCTTGTCCTGAACCATACGAATCGAGCACACCCCTCACATCCCAGTTCTCTTTTTGCTAATGATAACAGAAGGATAACAACGTTTTATTCTTGTGAAGATACTTGGACTTCATCAACGTCATGACTTATGACTTGCACGGGTCATGGGACTCTGCCACAGGCGAGAATGCTCCCTTGTACNCATGTATAACAACGGTTCGCGTGCAATCTGTAACTGATTATGCTCTATTTTATTCTTCCGTCCTGTCTTTAGTGCTTAATTAATTAAGCACACGGACAACGTTACCGTTACCCGTATTTATTTCATTCACTCCCTTCCTCCCCCTTATTTACGATTAAATACTTACTTTTATTGTAGAAAAATATTGTAAATACAAAAAGGCCTAGGCATTGCCTATACGGCCTTCTGCAACACATTCTTATAAATGTCTTATTCTATAATAGCTCACATCTTCTGACGACTAACACCATCTCTCCGAGACCGAGAACACTTAGCCCTCATGAAAACAATACGCAGTAACATAACAATGTTTCTCAAGAGATCCACGTCCCCTCAAGGCCAGAAAAACAGCGCAAAAGTACATAAAACTGGTTTATACACACTAAAACTGAACATGTCCTCTGTATAATAATATGTGAAATATCCATATAATTGAGACTATGAAGCAGGGAAGTTGATAATCGTTCAAGTGGACAACAAAATGCCTGTGTTCATTCCACTTTACACAAGATTCGACCAGTGAACCTTGTCCTGAACCATACGAATCGAGCACACCCCTCACATCCCAGTTCTCTTTTTGCTAATGATAACAGAAGGATAACAACGTTTTATTCTTGTGAAGATACTTGGACTTCATCAACGTCATGACTTATGACTTGCACGGGTCATGGGACTCTGCCACAGGCGAGAATGCTCCCTTGTACGCTGGCATTGCTGACACAACAGCAGACAGTCAGACGCTGAATGTGGTAAGTACAGAACTTCCTTATTTTGAGTAAATGTAGCCTTGAAACATATGTCGCTACACAGATTTTGCAAGTCTATTCCGCACTAGAGTAACTTCTGAGAACAAAAACTCATTTCTTATGTCACTAGTCTAATTGTGCTGGAATTTTGTGACAGTCCAATGTTTGCCTGCGTTGCTATATTTCCCATTTAGAGAGCTTAAGGACAGCCGATCATCTCAGATTTCGAATTTTACTGGTATTTATATAGCAGGATCACGGACATGGACGAAGGCAGAGATTATCACTAACGGCAGGAAGGATGAGTATTTTAATAAGTACAGAAGAAGAAACAGAAGCGCGAAAATTAGGGGAAAGCAGTTCTGTAAAGAACTAATCGTCTATGAAGAAGGTCGTCTTCTGGGATCTGGCACCGTGTATTCTTGGTTTTAACCGACGTTTCAGAGGAACGTATCGCCTCCATCTTCAGGGCAGATGAATCGCGATGCGAATACAGAGAGCAGTAGCTGCAATGATTGCAGCTGTATAGTTAATTACTTGTCGAATGAGGGCAGGAACAGAATTGCAAACGCCCCAGCACAGCGCTAATTTTATACATAGTGTGCGCTTAAATATATATACCAGCAGTGATTAGGCGCTGGCATCTCACAGCGGAGCCTGGGATTCAATCCCCGGTAAATTCGTGTGAGATTCGTGTTGGGCGAAATGGCACCGGAGATGTTTCTACCAGTTCCTTACGGTCTCCCCTATGATCGTCATTATATCATCCCCAATCCCCCCTCCGGATGTGCAGTAGCCCTGACCAGACAGCACACTATCAGCAGAGGTCTTTAAGCACTTGGTTGGTTACAGAGTCAGCAAGTTATCATGAACTATGTACGCAGTACATAATGAAGGTAATGTTAGCGAAAGACGGTAAAAGCAAAATTGCCTATACTTGACTTCGTTGTACACGTACAGGCGGTTTGCAGTGATTAGGTTCCTTCCTATAGTTTCTGTGTCTTTCAGGATTTTGCGATTAATTACTGGATCCAGAAAGGTGCATCTCCAGATAAACTGAATGTTGGAATGGGTACTTATGGCCGCTCTTTCACCCTGCAAAATACTAGAAGCACTGATGTTGGTGTTGCCATCACAGGTCCAGGACAAGCTGGTCCATACACCAGAGAGGCCGGCACATTGGGATACAACGAGGTATGGAGCAATCTAACAATTCCAATTACATTCACTGCCTCGTGCAGAATCCCTTCAACAGTTAATCACCACAGACTCTGAAACACACATGTTTCCCAGAAGGAAACTGGACCCATTAGAGTGAACACCTTTTGAAAAGATTTAAGTTACCACGCTAATGACGATGTATATAAATTTAATCACCGAATATTAGTGTTTATTTTCCTTAAAGCATGCAACAGTTAATTCCAGTGTTCTCCATATTTCACATAACAACACTGTGTTCAACTATAGTAAGGCCTATGATAGAAGAATGCAAACCGACATAATTTTTTTAATTTCTGAATGTGTCAGAAATACGTGTATTCATTAACAAAGTCATAATATAAATCCTGAATTACACATACCCAACAATTACAGGTTTTATGCTACATTTTAAAGACATGAGTTCAAAATAAAGCGAAGACAGCCGTACAATACGTGCAGTAATTTGTTTCATCTACAAATTATGAACTATTGTGATTTAATTCGTAACTTCACTGCGACATGTGTGCAGATCTGTGAGCAGTCCAGCCAATGGACAGTTTACTGGAACGAAGAGCAGGAAGTTCCTTATGCAGTCAATGGGAACCAATGGGTTGGCTACGACAATGCCGATTCCCTTAAACTGAAGGTAAAACAAATTTCTGAATATTTGTATTACTTGTTGATTCATGATTGCTGTTTCTTCCTCAATCAAATTAATATAATTTCATAGAACTTTTTTAATAGTTGAAATGGGCGCCGGCAGAAGGACAGGCTGAGCATCTGCCACCGCCAACCCCCGGAGTTGCAGAAATCTGTATAAACACACTGCACGTGGTTACTCATACACGACTGACCTTGACTATGTTACATTGGAAAAGAAATCAGTTATGGGTTCGAAGACCACTTTTGGTCCCTCGTACAGATTATGAAATCTATCACTCAGCCTCTAACAGAATTGAGTACCAGGAATTAAATAAATAATTTTCCTGGGGAGTAAAGCGCGGCCGACACGTAAGGCTGACAACCTTACTGCCATCTTTGAGCCTACTGTCTAGATAATGTGGGGCTCTCTACGTCTCACAACCCTATGGGCCTTCATGGCCTGTTACAGGGATAGCTTTACTTACTTTACTTTACTTTATGTGTTGCGGTAATTATTTCATGTATACCTGGAGAGTCTCACCCTCCAACTATTTGGAAATATGTGTTTTATGAAATGTGTCTAAAACTTTTTAAATTCGGCAGAAGAATCACAGCGTCATTGTGTGTATGCATCGCCTCTATGCTTGTAGATTGTTAAACTTTATTTCATATCGGTCAAGCAGCCTTCGAGAAACTTAGAATTTAGTATATGAGATCCTAGTGCACTTTCCTTATTTTTCAAGATGTCATCCATGCAATTTTTTTTTTGTGGGATACATAATCTGTAAGTGACTGAAATTTAATCACAGTCGTTACAGGCGATTTCAATAAAATCACAATTTTGTTTCGGTGTCTCATACGAAGAGCCTCTATTTTTGTATCTAGAATGTTCATATTCGCTTATCACTCAGCTACAATGGACAAATTCTCACACACAGTATTAACAAAATCTGTCCAATTGCTCAGACTCTAGAGAGACGCATGTCCATACATATATGCGCTAGTGCATACAGACAGAGCACTTTGCAAAAAACACTTCGTATTCGTGGGGGCTTACAAGATACAAATCAGTAAAAACATCAAATTACTTTACGATCACAATACTTTTTCATATATTTTACGTTATTATTATTATTATTATTATACGGAGTAAAATAATAATAATCCCAAAGATCTTTAACACAGTGGCACAATCTGTGTTATAGAAGAGACGGTAACCGTTCTGGGGCAATCCTTTAAGTATTATTAACCCGCTTAAACGGAAGTTTGTAAACAAATCTTCCGTCTTTCTCCTTCAGAAAAATCTACCCCTTTATCACCCCCTCCCAACGCTATTGTTGTTTGTAGTTACGATCTGTAAGTGTTCAGTAAATCCAATTACCAATCCAAACCCCGTCTATAGTCTCTCCGTACACATGACAATAAAAATTGGCTCAGTGGCTCACAAACGACAAAGGACGAGCTAAATTATAATTTTGGAATGCTACATATTGTGGTCAAACTTCGTCCTGACTATAATTCTGTACCCCATGACTGTATATTTGATAGATATCAGACTCTCTCGTGTTCATTCTGTTCTTCACAAGTTATTTCAGCCAGTAGGTACGAGTACCCTACACCTACAGCACTTCAGTTTCGTGAACAGCTGCAGATAAGATCTGATATTGTGTCATTACTTTCACTCAGGCTCAGTATGTGAAAGAGAAGGGGTTGGGTGGAGCCATGATCTGGAGTGTGGAGACCGACGATTTCCTCGGTGTCTGCGGAGCTGGAAAGTTCCCTCTGTTGGTTGCCATAAACTCCGTACTGACTGGCAAGACAAGTGGGATTCAGGTAAAGAAAACAATGTTGTCTGAGATTTTTGTAGTTTGTGATGTTCATAATAAGGCGTCTTGTTAGATTAGTAAGTATGAAGGAAAAACATTTTTAGTTACTGACTACCCACTGACCGGCAGAGGGGTTGGAGTTCGATTTTTCTCCCCTCCACGTCTTCAAGAGCTTTTCTGGGGCCTACCCTGCCTCCTATCCAATGCGTTCCGGGGACTCTTTCCCTTAGGTTAAAGAGGCCAGGGAGTGAAATGGCCACTCACCTCCAACTAGTGTCGAGGTCAAACGATAGCTCAATCGGAATAGGGACTAGTTCCTGGCTCAAGGGCCATAGTTCAGTTCCCAAAAGAACAATATATTTCTTTTTTCCATACTATCCAGGCCGGCTCTGGAGAACATCTAGCCTCTTATCTGATGGGTACCGGGGGTAAAGCGGCCGGGGCGTCAAGCTTGCGAATTACCTCCATTTAATGGCGAACTCAAGAGCAGTGGAGCTATAACTCCAAACCCCCGTATGCCATAATGGCTCAGGAACAACATACAGATGAACATGAGTTCTTCTCTTGCAGCAGAGCACCACGCAGGTTACCACAGCTGCTCCATCACAAGTAGCAGAGCCCGTACAAGCAGCTCAGCCCACAGCAGCTGCAACAGCTGCGCCTGCTCAACCAAGCGGAGTCTGCACCAGGAGTGGTTTTGTGAGGGACAGCAGCAATTGTCAAGTCTTCTATATCTGTGAAAATGTCAATGGGCAGTACGCAGTCAGTCAGTTCACCTGTCCTGCTGGCACTGTCTTTGATACCACACTCAACGTATGCAACTACCCAGCGGAAGTTCAGTGCTCATAATTTGCATTCAATTGCTTTACCTGTACGCACTACACGAAAATAAACTTTTCTAAGCCTCAATATGTTGACACTTACTTAACACACGTCATCGCCCTTCACCGCAAATAAACGTTAAAACAGAATACCGCAGAGCGGGCGTTCATATTTCTTATTAGGAGTCCAGATCCTAGTCTTCTGCAGACTGGCTCTTTTGATTTCAATTGTTGGTGTTAGATTTGAAGTTCTCGCAGCTGTGACTATGAAGAGTGGCACCATATGGGATGTGACGTCGTGGAATCTGTTACAAGTTCACCGGCGTTTTGGAAGAACGCATTGCCTAGCAGCTTCAGAGTTAAAGAATAAGCCAAACAAACAGCAACAGTTTGTGTTTTTATAGTTTTATTCAGTCACTCTAAACAGTACTTGCCCCTTCTGTATTTTTCTCAATTCATCTTCCACACTCATCCTCTCAAGTAACTTCAGACTACATACCACAAAGAGCGGAATAGATAGAATAAGAACTGAAAGAGTTATAGTGAATTTAATGATAAATTAATCAATAAGATAATATTCGTACATTTAAAAATGTATAAGGATGAAATCGCAAAGATGATTATGAACAAGAAATTAAAAGGAAAATGCCCAGGGGGAAAATATTGAAGAAGGGGAGCTTTGGGAAGGCAGTAATGGATTGAAATTGTTGCTAGGAAATCCACATGAAAATAGAAACATAAAAGTATAAAGAAATTGTTAATAAAGTGACATCGAATAAACAAAGATTGGAACTTCAGTGCAAGATACCATGTAGGTTGTGGTTAGACAACATTTATCCCCAAAATAACAAGACGTTCTGGAAAGAATTAACCACCTACTTTCCTTTCAATAGAAACTGAATCAATATAACAGTAACATAATGCAGGCAGCAAGTTACTTTTCATTTGATACTCCATTGACCATACAGATAACGAGGTGTCCAACAATTCTTCTATTGTTGCTTGTGTATTCTTTGTCGCGGGAAAGTGTTTACCGAGTCATTGTCTAGCAACGGTAGAGTCAATGTAAACTTTACTGTTTTCTTAGGTGAATCTGTCCAGACAATTTGGGGAGGGACCACCAGTCGGCAATGAAACGTACCTGTGCATCAGTCGGAATTATAGTTTCTACCTTGCAGCGAAATATACCATAACTAACAGCAAACATAAGGAGTAAAATCCTGATTCAATGTGTAAGAGCTTTACCCCCAATGCTCATTTGTGAGAAGGATATATGGACACCCCAGAGGAGCTCTGGAGGCAGCCCTGCCTGGAATCTAACGCCTGTTATCCAATCTGTAACCTGGTAACTGTGCTCACTGCGCCTTCGCAGCTCCGTTGGACAGGAAGAGGATGTACATCTTGTTAACTTCTTAAGATGCTGCATGTAGCATGACTGCGTTCAGCATGTGCTAAACATATCAAAACACGTCTCATTTCATCGGCGGCCACTCCGGCTGCTCCACAATGTGTCTGAATCTAAAATTCCTGATACGTTCCGCTAACAAACCAAAACGTGGCGCAAAGGGAATGCAGACATGTTCTACGGTGCAATAGTTTACGTACTTGTGCAGTTGAACTGTGAAATCTGGGAGAATAATTTGGTGGCTTTGACAGCAGGCGGGATTAAGATTTTTTTTAATTTAGGTCGGGGGGGGGGGGTTCCATGAGTAGCACGCAACAGCAGCTTGGGACTTGGGAACCATCTCAGTCTTTACTTAAAGACAGAGGAAACCAAGAAAACCTGAGGAAATCAGCCTAGTTTATGGGAGAAGAAGGAAGGAGGAGGCAGCGCTGCGCTGACATGGAGGTCAAATACGTAAAACTGGAAATGAATAAGGGTGAAATGAGGGAATGATTTAAGATACAAGAGAGACAAAGGGAAGGAATGCTGGAGGTGAGAGATGAACATACGGAAGACATGGTTTATCCTAAGGGATGAAACATCTACATGTGCTAAAGGGCCATGACCACTTGACGGGATTCCGTAGTTGTTACATGTTCGTGTAGCTACTTTCCACTGAATTTCCAACTCCTAATTGGAATGATTCTCTTAGGATCAAACACCTATATAAATATTTAAATGCATTAATGTTACGTAATAGCGTTAACCTTCCGTTCTCTGTTGCTTTTCACTAAGAGATTTTTAATTCTGAGTATATTTAAATAAGTGCATACGGATAACCTTAGATCGCGAAATAAATTGGCAATACTGATTGGATTTCAGGCCTGTGGTTCACACCATAATCAGAAATTTTGACAATAATTTCAAAGTAACATGGATATATTTTACATTAAGGATAACTCAAACTTTGACTGACGTCAATATAGTGTTCACAAACTGGATCGAGCAGTCTGAGTTACCGGTAATATTCTAGAATTGTATTCGGGAGTTTCTTGGTTCGAATTTTGAATAGGACAATGGCTATCCTGACTGAGATTTTCCATGATCTTCCTCAGTCTCTCCAGGTAAATGCGGAAGACTGGCTCGCTTGGGCAAAAACCGCCTCTATCAAGGTTATTTCAAGGAAATAGCGACTCCGATCTAGAAAACCGAGATTNCTATTCGACACTATAGCCCTACAACCGAAGAGTATGAAAGGGGCATAATATAAACGACAGCAATATTCACACATTGATTAACTACCTTAATGAGAATACTGTTACTTCAGACTATTAACGATAGGTACTGTAGATATTTTATTAGCTTTTTGAAACCTGTTACTTAAAATTCGCTGTGTATTAGTGTACGTTTTTAAAGAATGAGGCCGCCTCTCTGGTCTAGTGGTCAGAGCTCCTGGCTACAGATCCAGATTCCCGGCGCTATCAGATTTTCTGAGAATTAATGGGTCTGGAACCGGGTCCACCCAGCCTCGTGAGGATAATTGATGAGTTATTTCAAGGAAATAGCGACTCCGATCTAGAAAACCGAGATTAACGGCCGTGGAGATCCGTTGCACTGACCACGCGAGACCCTCTATCCGCAAAAGTTGGCACTAACTTCGACGGCAAGTGGCGGTCGTTCGTTCGGTATAGTTCGCTTGAGGATTAGAGGCCACGGAGTTTGTCTATAATCTGCCAGTGCCAGTGTATTTTGTAAAACATGGGAAGATGTTTATTCTAATGGACAACAACTTATTTACCGTCGCAATAAAATGTCCAGTGGATATTTACTTCAGCTTTGTGACCCACGTAAGACAGTCTCACGACCTACAGCAGACCGTATATTCGTGGCTGGTTCTATCTCGTTAAAATACGAATGCTTGCTCTTACGTGTTTTTCACTGGGTTTCTGAATTGCAGAAAATTTTATCTTTTCCGCTTTCTTCTAATATGTGCACAGCCTTAGCATAATATGATAAAGATACATACGCTGAAGATGATCGTGGTTGCAGGCAGAATGTATTCGCATGTTTCGGCAGATAAAGTGGATCAGTCTCCAGACTATTCAAAAGTAACAATAGCAACCTTTAGGACCATAAATGTCACAGAAAAGAGGAACAAATTTTAACTCAGATATCCGATTGCCGTTCCTCTTCACAACAATGGCAACAGTCCTGTCAAGACTGGCCGAAGGAAATATGTTGGATTCATAGGCCAAGCCTTCGCATTTACGTATAAATATCTCGCACGCCTATAAGCCATTAAATAAACTTCATTGAACGTGTAGGATTATTGAAGAGCTCAAAAAGACGGGGATGCACAATAGATCATTGAATGTCATTTTATTTAAGAATTTTTGGGCGCCCGTAAAATCTTCGTGCATTGTATTGCTTGGCCACTTCTTTATCAATTCTTGATTTCCTGATGGGCTTGGTTACCCTCCTTTCCACTGCTCTGGTGGGATCTGTTGCTAATATCTTGTAGTTTTGATCGTTTAAGAGTTCTTCTGTTTCTTTGGACGTAATTTTGTCTGGTCATCACAACTGAGGCATTGTCTTTTTGTCTGCCGGAAGGACTAATATGTCTTGGTCGTCTCGTATGGCTTGTAGTGCGTGATGCATCTCAAAAGCTAAACTTGGCGAGCTACGTGCATGTGGTAAATTGCTTACCATTGGCTTGAGGCTGACGGCAGTGGTATGGAATAGTAGGAAACCACCTTACCGACTTAGCTGCTTACATCTATTGTACGTGATTACCGCATTACTCCACAAACATGGATCCTACAACGGTACAGTTTCTATAGAGTAGTATCCCATGGATCTTGGCATGTAACGCCCATGATGTGTGCTTTTACGTTACTTACGAACAGCATCGAGTTCGATCGAGTTCTCGCTGTGATCAAAGACGGTTGTGTGTGATTTCTATGACCATGTTTAACTGAACAGCTGGTATAAGTGGGCTGTTAAAAGGGTATGAGGTTCGTTGATCCGCGTTAGGATCTATCGTCAAGTACGTAAAATGTCTGTTGGTACTCCGCTGTATTTAATTTCACATACCCAAAAGGTCTGCAGCCTTTATAAAAGAGCTTTAAGGAATTTAGAATCATGGTATGATAGACGGTGAGTTCAATTCATACATTTGAAGGGTAATGAAACTTGTTTATTTGTCTTTAATGAAAGATTCCCTTGCAGTTTCAAATGCTTTCAACAAATATCTCCTTCTAGCCGCTGGAAATTGCTGCCAAATTAGTAATGATAATAATTACTCAGTACAATACTCAAGGAAAGATTGCTTTGTGTACTTACAACCTTACACTTTTCCTCATCCATAGTCGAGGAAATTATAGCATTATCCATTCTCTGAAAAGTAAAAACTCTTCGGTATATGGTAAAATATCTATTAAAATAGCGAAATCCTGCCTAATCCAGAAAGTGATTCTCTGAGTTCCACGTATAAAAATCAATTGACTGTTGGAGCTTTGCCAGAAGTAAATTTTAAACTGCAGTGCAAAAAAAACAGATAATAAAAATATGTAAAATTATAGGACAGTTTCTCTTCCAACTAAAGAACAAGTCCATATGCTAAATTAAGCACCACACCACAAAGATGGAAGTAGGCTCAGGTTTCCCACTTACACATTGTACATGAGGCACGGTGAGCCCCACAGTTTATTTGGATTCTGTGGAGAAAAGAGGAATCCATTGCCCCTACCAGTCCTGCGTTTAGCCTATTTTCTGTACTGACAGCTATCTGAGCATCCTTCCTCTGTGACTGTTTTCAAAAATATTTCAGTTTTGTGGAGTTAAGTGCTGTGAAATTCTGTTGTATCAGGTATTGTATCTGCTGCTGCAACCAGTGTGTGCATCATTCACAGTAACAAACTCAGGAAAATTTAAATGCTGCTGTAACAGTGATTGTATCTGATGCAGCAGCCACAGTGCACCCGTATGAACTGAAATGCTACTGTAGCCATGAGTGTATATGATGCTGCAGCTACAGTGCACCCGTATGAACTGAAATGCTGCTGTAGCCATGAGTGTATCTGATGATGCTTCTGCAGTGTAAGGCATCCACAGACCCATGCAAACTGAAATGTTATTGTAGTGGTGATTGTATCTGATGCTGCAGGCATAGTGCACCCATATGAACTGAAATGCTACTGTAGCCATGAGTGTATATGATGCTGCAGCTACAGTGCACCCATATGAACTGAAATGCTGCTGTTGCTGTGTGTGTATATGTTGCTACAACTGTTATGTGCAGTACCTGCAGTAACAGACCTAGGCAAATTGCTGTTGTAGCAGCACTAACAGACATAGCCAAATTGAAGTGCTGTTTTTGCAATGATTGTACGTGATGCTGCAACCACTGTGCATATTGAGCCATGTCTCTTTCTCTCTGTCTATCTCAGAATAGTATAGTTGAACAAAGAGTTGTGGGAACTTTTAATGCATATAAGCAGGAGGATTGTAGGAGGGAATTACTCATGTTGAAAGCAGTGCATTCCATTGAAACCCAAGTAAATATGTATAGACTACATGGTGTTACATCCAAGATAAGGTAAAATTGTCCCTGTGCTTAACTAAGTAAGCACTGTGGCATGAAGAGCAGATGTATACTCGTAGATCCATATTTTCTTGACCTCGACACTAGTTGGAGGTAAGTGGTCAGCTTCATGCTCTGGCCACTTAACCCACAGGGAAGTAGTCCCCAGTAGTGATTAGATAGGAGGTTACGTGGGCCCCAGAGCCACACTGATGACAGAGAGAAAAGAAAATTCTTGACGTGAACTCCAACTCCTCAATCATCCAGTCTGTAGCCAGTTTCCGAGAAATCAGTAATTTTCATATGAAAGCTGGTTCAATACTGTTTATGTTAGCTTTTCTAATTTGCTATGGAAGTCTGCATTTGAAAGTAACAAAGTGGGAAAGGCAAACTGTGCATTGCTACAGTCATTAAGAGGTGTGTTCATTAGAGGATAAGCGCATAGTTTAAGAGCTTTTATGTTTGGGTGATAAAATTAGAGAAACTAAGGCAATGAATCAGCTCAGGATGTTTCAGATCTGCTTAAAGACACTGACAATTACTGAAGTGAATATTCTATAATCATTATTGTACAAAATTATCTTCATTGGTTGCATCCTGTTGTGTGTTTCAGACATATGTATATAGGAATTAGGTTAACTGTCACACAACAAATATACTGGCTTTTAATGTTTTACAGTAGACTTTTTTTTATTCCTGCTTCATATTCTGGTCATACAAGACCAAAATTAAATTAAAAAGGTATAATTATGTGATCATGCCAAAAATGGTGAAGTGTTTTGAATGTTACAGGAAAAGGACAACCATTTTGAGATAAGACTCGTTAAAAAAATACAGAATTTCCATCAATTTCGTAACCTTTTCTGATGTAAATTTCTTGACAGTAAATATTAATTTGTTATTTGCTACTGAGAGAATATTTTGCATTTGTGGCAGTAGTTGTAACAGAGACACCTCAAAATGGGAAAATTCGACAGTTGCTGATGAATGTGGTATAATTCTTTCTGTCACTTTAACAGTTGTGGACTGTAAGCAGTTTAAATTCGCTTAGTGGGGAGTGGAGTCCAACTGGGTCCACTCGGCACGGCAGCCACTGCTTGGCCTATTGTAGCTTGCCCCATGTGATTATGATGATGGAGTATTGGGTGGAATGAAGATTGGCAGGGGAAACTGAAGTACTCGGAGAAAACCCACTCCAGTGCCATTTTGTCCACCACAAATCCCACTTGACCAGACCCGGGATCGAAGCCAGGTCACTACGGTGGGAAGCCAGCAACTAACACTGTAAGCGGTTAGTCAGACATGTAGTCAGAGGTGTCTGACATAAATGTATAGCTGTTATAAATTTATGTTTGGAAACTTTAATGTTATTCAGGATTTAGTATTTAATTCTTGCAGTTTATTTCATATCAGTAGATGGCTGCCACAATGCTGCATTTCCAGAGGTTGTGCAGGCAACATGTGAAAGCCCACAAAAATAATCANAACTAACACTGTAAGCAGTTAGTCAGGCATGTAGTCAGAGGTGTCTGACATAAATGTATAGCTGTTATATATTCATGTTTGGAAACTTTAATGTTATTCAGGATTTAGTATTTACTTCTTGCAGTTTATTTCATATCAGTAGATGGCTGCCATAATGCTGCATTTCCAGAGGTTGTGCAGGCAACATGTGAAAGCCCACAAAAATAATCACTTTAGAATACTGTTGGAAAGTGCTAAACTATATAGGCAGTCATATGAATTTCCAGCCAGGTGCATGTGTATTCTTTCAAGTTTCACCTTACACCAGTTTTTTTTAAATATGTGATAGTTGTTTCCAAAAACTTACCGTATTTACGCATGTATAGGCCGCAGCACAATTTTCAGACAGAAATTATAGAAAAAATAATTTTCTTGGNTTAATTAGAACTCATGATCAAGCATTCTGATGGCAATGTGGTGATCATTGAGCCACATTACATTTCTTCAGTTTATCATGAAAAGATTATCAGCATTTTTGAGCAATCCATCTTCTGAGTAGGTGACTGAGGCAACATGTTCTTGTGAAACAGTGGGACACATCTGCCAAATTCAATGGTTCTTCACCACCATAAAAACTTTAAATCTTAACATTTACAATTTTTACCTAAACACTAGTAGTAGTAGTATCTAATGTCTGGGCATTTGGAGCAATACCATTCACTTACTAGCATCCGAACATATTTTCACTTTTGCCCAGACATGTAAATTCTGAATTGCTTCAAGACCATCTTTAAGAAGAAATGTAACTTAATACTTCACTGCCTGGTATGAGAAAACAGGAATAGAAAATTCAACTTTGTACAGAGGACACCACTGGAACTGGAAGCCTCTTAAGACCAATACTTTATTCTGAATGCTGAATATACCATAGCAGTTGTTACATCAAGGTTATGGTAGGCTGAACATGCAGCTCAAAAGAAAGAAATGTGTCTTTAATGTTGAAAAAAAAAGGAAACCAGAGGATAATATGGAAAACAATCTTTGAGAAAGAGATTGTCAAAATGTAGCTTAAGACTGGCTCTAGACCATTCAAGTATAGTTACTGTGTTTTTCACTGTCAGATTCTGTAACATGGGAATTATCTCTTTTACATTGCAATTTTGTTTTCATTGTAAAGTTGGCACTAACTTCGCCAACAAGCGGTGGTTGCTCGGTCAGTATAGTCTGCTTGTGGACTAAAGCCACGGATATTTTTTTTTATTATATAATACATTCTTTTGGTTCAGTATTCTCGAGCTGTGATTTACACACTAGTGCTCAGCATTAACATCTGCTGGTATCCTCACAGTGATGTTTTCCGTTATGAAGCTGTGCTACTGAGACAGCGATTTGAAGAAAATCGTGATGTAAAGGACATGCGGATAGCAAAACAGCTGCTGGAGAAGGGGGAGCAGGAGCTGTTTGATAAACAGCATTACCAACCAAAGAAGTGTGAGTATAAAGAGTCCAAAGTTTTCATTCATGAAATTAGGAACAATTCTTTGGCTTGCTGTGAGGTCTACATTTGAAAATTTCCAGTTGCATACAACAAGTTTTTCATAAAATATAATTTGAGCATATCTGAATGTTGGCAATAGCTGCTAGGAAATGTGAGAGAAAATTCAATCCTGAGGTTCAGGTTCCCCAACAGAAGAATTAATCAGGATCTTGTCAATAAAGTGAGAATGGCTGTCATGTTAATAGGAAACCGAAAATGTCAGCATGAGAATGTGGCTTGAACATTTGGCTCATAAGTTGATTTAAGTGCATTCCATGAGAAACAGGAAAGTCCAAAGTGTGTAAGAACTGTAGCAAAATTATTGAAACTACAGGCTTGCAAACATAGCTCTGCACTCCTTGCAGCAATGTGATCCAGTAGTTTTTTTATCTGGTATTTTCAGGTTATAATAATGAACTTAATCCGAAGTTGACAGCCTTCTTTCAGATGAAGTATTTGGACATGTGAACACACAAAATTTACTGTAGCCCATGAAGCTCCATGGTGAAAAGTTTGTATTCTGCACCCAGAATGTGAGGAAGCGTGGATCCCATGTTCTGTGCAGATGCAGTTAATTACTAGAGATATGTAAGGCACATGCTGCAAATGGACCAATAACCTTCAGTCTACAGTGGTTGCTAGTCTCACTGTCACCCCAGCTGACTGGGTAGGAAGCCAGCTACCAGCATGTGATTGGGCATAATTGGAAGGCCATGCCCTGGCATGGATGCTGAGTAACTTCCACATACAGTATACTGATTTTAAATTGAAGTTCTTCCCTCCATGAATTAATAGTAAAACATGTACACTTAAAATGGTGTCCCATCACTAAAGTCAGTACAGTAGGTCAACAAGAGCTTCAGATAATGTTTTATTTGATAGGGTATAATATTTGGTTGTGAACATCAATTGCTGACATGCGCCCTTTCAGAATGATTGCTGGGAACAGTGGTATGCGTAAGTGTTCTGTGTCCAGGCTATATAATGTGATCCAATGGGACAAGTTAATTGGTTGAGATTTGACAGTTGAGACAGAGCTGTAAGATAGTAGAGAGCCAGCAGTGACATAAGCAGAAGAGGACACTGTTGGGAGCTCACCAGTCAGTGACTAGTGAAAACGCAGCAAACTGAGAAGACTTAGTGTGTGTGGATTAGTGATAGTGTTATAACTGTTTGTAGTTACGAGTTCTAAGTGTTCAAAGAATCCAAGTTATCAATCCAAACCCCATGTCTAGTCATAAAAATGTGACAGACTGGTGTCAAAAGTTGTATTAATTGGATTGATTGGACTGGAATCCACATGACGGATAATCATGGTGGCATCTGAACGGCTGGTAGACATCATGGAAAGTCTGAGAGCTGAAAACAGGACTGGCATAGAAGAAATGAAGGCCACAGTGAGCACCTGTCGAGAAGTGATAGAGGCTATTTGAGAAGAGAGGAAGTTCAAGATAGATACCTATCAAGAGAAGATGGAGGCTGAAAAAGGGGGACCAAGAAGTGATGGAGACCTATCCGGAAAAGAGGGATGCCAAGATGGAGGCATATCCAGAAAGGATGGAGGGCATTCATGAAAAGATGCGCTGTAGCAAAACACTATAATTGGGCCACATGCATAAAAGCCACACACCTTACCACCCTGCAGGACTGGGCTTCCAGTGTTCTACTTGGAGACACTTAAGGAGCAACGTACAAGAAGACTACTGGTGCAGTTGAAGACTAATTTGAGGACCAGCATCTGGTCACAGGGTGCTATGGTCAACGAAGAATTGACATTTGAGGCAGAGAGTTGTGAGATGGTAGACGCAACAATGACATAAGCAGAAGAGGGCATTGCTGGTTGCTGCTACCAAGAAATGAGTAGTGAAGACATAGCGAAGAGTTCTGAGTGTTCAGTAAGTCCAATTATCAATCCAAACCCAATATCTTGTCACATAAACTTGACACAACTAATAGACATGAAGTTTAAGATTAAATTGAGAGAAACATAATTTTGGGAAATGTTAAGTACAGTTAAAACTAATCATTCCAATTGCTTTATGTAGTACTAAAACATAATTTCATACTTTAAGAGCACTTAGTTTACAAGTGTTTGAAAATAAAGGGCCCAAGATGAAATATGGCAATAGGCAATTTAATATTTTGCATAACTAGGAACCATGATTTATGATCATTGCATTTGAGATGCTTAGCTGTGACTGTGAAGATTTGTGCCATAAACTTCGCTGTCTTCCCATTGCAGCAGCCTGGGTTCGAGCTCAGGTCTGGTCATGTGGGATTTATGGTGGAGAAAGTGGGGCTGGGGCAGGTTTTCTCTGAGTACTTCAGTTTCCCCTGCCAATCTTCATTCCACCAATAGCTCCACAATCACCATCATCTATATCATCTGGGGCTGGTACAATAGGCCAGTAGTGGCTGCAGTGCCAAGTGGACTCAGTCTCACCTCACTAAGAACAAGAATAATAATAACAAAATTTGTCTTAAACTGCATGATGCTATGTCCCAGAAAACAGCTCTTCACAATTGATGCAGGTCACCAAATGTTGGGGCAGTGAGTGGAAATGTGACCAGGTTTGGCAGACAAGAAAAGCATGTAAATTTGCTTGGGAAACCTCTTAGGACATAGCCACATGGAAGATAAAAAAGGAGAAGACAGTAGTAAAATGGATTTTGGGAAGAAGTAAGGGAAGTGGGTGGAACAAGCTCAGAGTTATGTCCAGTTTTGGGCTTTGGTGTCTATGCTGTTGAATCTTTTGATTTTGCTAATGGAGTGTTAGATTATGAATATTTAATATAGATTTTTATTGCTAGAATATTCAGTTCATTATCAGTACGTATTAAAAGTAATTTGTTGATAGCTATGTTAGTTTTGTTGCAGTTCTGTTATATTGTAATTGTTGTGTGTTGTGATTTTAGTTAAAATTTGTTTTTTTTATGACAAATGTGGTGTTAACAGAAAAAGGGGTTATCAATAAACATTACTCTGTAGAAGAAGAAACAACTGTAGATTTTATGCACTCATTATTTCATTAAGACTGAATGGAAAATGTCATTCTTTAGTGGTATAAATCATTTCCTTGTAATAATAATTTGCAGTGCACATCTCATTTTTGCTAATCTTTGATTCAACCCTGTACTTAACGCCACAGAAATAAAAGTATAAATGAGATGGGTACTCCAAATTACCAGAATTAATTTGTAACACATGAATATTTATATTTTGTTTCTCTCCATGTTCAGTTCCTAATTCTCCAGGAGGAACTGCGTACCAGCGTGAAGTTATTCCACCAGACTGGGTATTGGACTACTGGCACCCTCTTGAAAAAGCACAGTATCCTGAATACTTTGCCCGTCGTGAACTGCGGAAGAAACAGTTTATTGAAATGTGGGAAGAAAAATATGGGAAACCCCCTAAGGAAGAAACACATCACTGAATAGGAACTTACTTAGATAGTATAATAAGCAGAGAAGACCGTGCATTTAGCTTTGACTTGGTAGCTTCAAGTAAGTTGAAAAGAACTGTCAGTAGCTGGCAGTTGACAGTGTCTGCAGTGTTATATTTCTTAGCCAGTCACTGATATATATTTGTACGCGCATTATGATATGAATACCTTTTGTACATTGACATGACAATTAGAACTGTACATATAATAAGTGCTAATAAAGGTATGTCCACTGATATTCAGAGAAAGTTGTTTCCTGTATGACTGCTCAGATATTTTATTGGTTTAATTGTATTGTCACTTGTTGGGTGTCACGCCATATTGGATATAGTGAATTTATTCCACTCACTCTTACAAACACACCATTTACAATCTCACAGTTACTGCCATCTGCAGTATCACAAATACTAGACTGCAATTAACTGGTTACTCTTTCTCTAGTAACTGGCTCAATACTCACTCACTAATCACTCGCTACTCCTGAATAGTGTTCGCTGCACCTAATTTAGCCTCGGCATGGACAACACAGAAAACAGTTACGTTATAGGTACTGCTGTTGCCTGATGCCGTGTATACAGGTTGCCTAGCAACACTGTCGAGAGTTGTTTATTGCTCTGTAGCAACCGCGGCATCCCTTGGTAACGTCACCGCGGGAGGGGGCAGGGTGTTGACTGGCCTATTACCATAGCAGCGGCAACGCTCCGAAGGTGTTACATTGCTGCTCTTTGGGGAGGGGGTGTCCTGCATAGTGCAAATACGTTACACTATGTTATGGTTGTGAAATGTTGGCAGATCACTACTTTGCCTTTCACAGTAGCATCCTGAACATAATTACATCAATATGTAGCAAGCTCATAAAAACTATTAGATTTGCCATGTGTGTGCATGCAACAACTTGAGAACCATTGAATGGACTCTAGTGAAATTTGATACTGAGGACATAAATAAAATCTGTCAACACATTCCAGTTTTGGTTAAAACTGGACAGTGCAAGAAAACCTACATACTTTTCTGCACATATCTGCACAGTATATCTCACTAAATACGAGGGTCATGCGCCTGTCATCTTCAATGATCTCATCCACTCTTTCCTTGTTGTGTTCAGTTGAGGCTGTTCGAGGACGACTGCTACAAGGCTCATCTTCGATGCTAGTGTTCCCATCTTTAAAATGTTTCGCCCATCTTTGAACACTGCTCGCACCCATGCACACACTTCCATAAGCACCCTGAAGTCTCTGGTGAATTTCTGCAGCAGGGATTTCCTCTTTCACAAGAAAAATTTTGATTTGTTATCATTGTTTCCAAATATCTGAACTGTGCCACATTTTCAGAACATTTGTTACCTGTCTTTATTTCATGATTTCTCTCTGCAATTTGGTGACTAGATGATAACATATACATAGTTTTCTTTGTGTTTACTTCTAGACCAACCTCCTCACTACCATCAGTTAAAGTTTGTGTATTTCTCTTTGTGGTATCTATATTATCACCCAATAGATTCACATCATCAGCATAGACCAACAGATGATGTGTTCCCATTTAATTTCAGTTCCACATGGTTCTCCTGGACTTTTCTAAGTGAAGTTGAAAAGCAGCGGTGATAAAGCATCTCCTTGTTTTAGACCATATTGGATAGGAAAATCATCAGACGAATGTTTACCTACATAGACTTTACCATACGTTTCATTTAAACACATTTCAATCAGCCTAACTAGTTTCATGGGTACCCCAAACTCAGAATATTGTACAGTACTTGACAATAAATTAGATAAGAGGTAGAAACTGAACTCTTATTAACTATTCAGATCAGTTTCAACTTTTGAGGATGTAACTCTTTTAAATCCTCAGTGTACATGTTACTTTTGTTTCAAATTATACAGGGAAGTTTTAAGATGATACCTGTACCATAGGTGCCACTGGTTTATGTTTCATTCAATCCTTTGGTCTTCTGGTCTTCATAATAAACTGCTATATAGTATTTTTTTCCGGCAGGTGCATGTACAGGTACATTTAAAATGTCGGTAGCATCTCTAGGAGAAACATCTGGCAACAGAGGATCTTATTGCTTTTGAACATTATGAACATATTCATAAGAGTGTATTGAAGGTCTGTCCATACAAAGAGAACTGGTCTCTGTTTTGCCTGTTGTTGAAACAAAATTATTTTGCATTTGTAAGAATGGTTCAAGGCATTTAATATTCTGAAGCAAGACATTCCTATAACATGCTATTTAGACACAACATTTAAATATTAATTTCTTATCTCACCAAAACACATTACTTTTCCATTCAAAAGACCAATTCTGAATAGCAAAACAGTCATCTTTTTTGAGACTTGTAAACACATGAAGGCACTCTGTGAAGAAGATTCATTACATGTTCGTGCTCGGTGCATCAAAATGTTAGATACCTTCTTAGACAAGACGGTAAATATTTTATTTTTATAACTCTGACTGAGGAAGAATGTCTGAATTTCCTGCTGCCTTTAGGCATTTCAAATTAGATAAATCTGTAAAAGTCTGTCCCACTGCCTTTCCAGTTGTTACAAATTAATCCTTACTTGTTAATCAAATAACTCCAGTCTCTCTGCATGAAAGCCCATGGCTTGCTGAGTTATGCCGATCACAGTTGCCACACGGTCTAAGGCATGAAATGTCTTCGCCTGCTCGAACATTGGGGTCATGGGTTCAAATCCCACTCAAGGCATGGATGTCTGTTTGTGTTTTTTCTGTGTTTAAGATAGGTAGTGGCCTTGTGATGGGCTGATCCTCTGTCCAAGGAGCTCTACCGACTGTCTTAGATGAAGAAACTAAAGTGAAATGAAAGCATTTCACAGATACTCTATGCTCCAAGTGGGAGCAACGGCAATAGAAGAAGGAGGAGGAGGAGGAGTTGCTCAGTTATCCTAATTCTGTCCTCAACATGTATGTAGCAGTTGATAGTAGTAGTCAGGGGATGGACCACGAGGCGGCAGTGAGAGCTGTACCTACGCTTCAGTCGACAGCGTCGACTTCCGTCACAAGAAATTTGCATTGTTATCTGCGTGCATATTCTGGGAAACTGTGACATAATAAATAAGTATGTTTCAATTAGTTATTTATATAAACTGTACTCAAATATAGGAACTGCCTGTTCAAGGGTTCTGCTTATGTTTGCACTTTAGGTCACTTAAAATGTGGTGTGCCGCGCATGAATGTAGTGGAACATTGAAACTCTACTTGGAATGAAAATGGAATATAGAACGTTAATGTTGAAGTAGTAGCTATTAGCAAAACTGATAAATTTTGTGGCTGTTCATTCTGTATGAAAAGACCAAATCATTCAACAAGCAAATGTTATAGCTGGTATGTACTGTTTGAAAGAAATGTATTATATTTTTGTTATTTAGATTGGTTTGATTTGTTCTTTAACGAAGCTGTAAACAACGAGAATGTACAGCATCGATAATAGGATGATTAATGAATTGATGGAACAATAATTGGCAGGGGAAACTGAAGTATTCGGAGGAAACATGCCAGAATGCCACTTCGTCCACCACAAATCCTACAAGATCGGACCTGGGATAGATCCTGGTTCATTACCATGGGAATCCAACAGCTAACTGCCTGAGCTATGGCAGCGTCCATCTTTATAATGCTCTATGGCTGTTATGAAATAGTGGGGTTAGACGTTTTTGAAGAAGTTTGTTTTTATGTTGTCCTTGTTGGAAATATTTTCCTTAAGTATCAGCACAGCATAATTAATATTGTTATTCAGTTGTTTTGTATCTTGGTATATATGAAGCTAACATTCTTAAACTTTTCAGGCTATTTAGATCAGATGTTTTTAAAGGAATGTGTTTTAATATATTTTTGTTGTACATTCAACAACATTTATGCTAATCTTAATAATGCATATGTACAGATATGTAAATACATACGTAATTTTATGGTACATTTATTGCTACAGCAAAGTGAACATATTAATTGCGAAAATTCCAGTAAACATTAAATTCAGTTTCGGTTCGGAGCGAAGAACTCTTCTGTAAACATAGAAGTAAAGAATATTTTGAGCGCATATCAGTAGATTAACATAACTACTTCACAAATGTGAAACACTTAAATGAAAGAGTTTATGACGACAGTGCCACGACTGCGCGAGTCGAGTTCATCTGTCACAATGGAGGAGCACTTATTGCCATGCTGCTTATCTGTACAGAAACTGTACGCACTTAACGCAGCGCTCCATAAGTGCTCACTTTGGTACATGTGAACACAGACACGTAGCATATTGTAGTGCACTATACTAATATAAACTGCATTGCCACTTCTCAGTATCACAGATTTATATCACTTTACAGTAGAGATCACTTCTAGAACACAATCAAATAGGCACATATACGGGTGTATGCTAGTAAATGTCATTAGTGCTGAGAAGTGAATATTCGCAAATTTATATTAACGTAACATTAGACATCACTTACAAAACAAAATACAAGTGTGTACATTTATATGGTAATATAATCTCCTGCACATAAGTTACAGAGGAGTGCTAATTCACAGATGTATATCAGTATAACACTGCAGATCACTTACAGAGACCAGTACAAGTATACAGCAGTACAATGTGTGCATGTAAGACATGCAGAAGTGATAATGCTCCGGCTTCTGTTGGAGCAACGTTTAAGATCACGTCTAGATCACAAAACAAATGTACAGGGATATTTTGGACACTGTTTTACATCTGTCATACTGAGAAGTAAAAAAATATTAATAATACAAGGCAAGATATTAGCAACTATCAAGGTTTCTGTGTGCTGGAGATAACATACATCATGTAGACCTACAGACATAAGAGAAGGACACTATTTGGTGTATCAGTGACACTAACCAATGCCCTTCAGTACTTTTTCCCTGATCATTCTTTTACATACTCTTTTGGAGAGTTGAATTTTCTGAGTATTGTCAGCTTCTTGTATTTGCATCCCTGAGAGCAAGGCGTCTGCCCCCTGGGAATCCTTTGGCGTATGGTTTCTTTGCATTAGTGCTGAGGTAGTACACTCCACGCGCTCTGCAAAAGACATTTTCTAATGAATAGTATTTCTGTAACAAGGAATATGAGAAAGGCTGATTTAATTAGATATCGTTGTAAGTCCACTATGTTGCTTTGTTCCAAAGTATTGCAACTCCTCATTTTGCCATGTAAATCACAGTTATACTCGTAACCATATGTACTACTGTTGTAATATTAATACACTCTGATTTTTTCCACAGCATATTCATTTGTTTCTTAATATCCTCAGCATAGATTATTTGCCTAAACAGCATTAATTGACTGATCTCTACAATGGAAAGGTATTAGCTGAATCTGTATACACGATTTGCTTTAACTTCAGGCTTCAAAAGTAAATACGCGCAGTTTGGTGACACTTGTGCATCTGTATGATCCATAAGTAAATCGCATGTCATGTAACAACTTGTGTTTGAGGAAAATAATGCTTAATAGCTTAACTGCCGTTTATTGTTCTGTGCCACCATGTTCATAACTCACAACACTGGTAAAACTTGTGCTCGAGGATTATGTTTCTGACGTCAAAGCTTATATTTTTAGTTTGGTATATTTGTCCTCTCTGTCTGTCGATGCTACAGCAGGCAATAAATCTTGATGGATACGATTAAAGTCAAGTTTAACTATAATTCTTGCTAGAGAAGCTCATATGAATGGGTTTTAAAATCTACTTAACAGGACAAATGGTTATTCCCTATTCATTTGTCCTCCTATTTCCTTCAAATAAACTTCACTGGTACTTCGAAGGGAGAACGAAATTGGCCAGGATCTTGATTAAATTGATACCCGCCCTGAAACTTAATATTCGTAACAGCGATCTCGAATTACCAGAACTACAAACTGTATATAAGTCACTAGATATTGTGGCAGAAATCAGAATCAGAAGACTGGAATAGAATGACTTAGGCCCCTCATCAGAAAGGATGACACCCGAACTCCAGAAATGATATTCAACGGCAAACCAGAAGGCGGACATGGGGTTGGAAGACCAAAGTTCAGGTGGATAGGTGACATAAATACTGACATAGAAACTCCAAATTTAAAAATAGAGAGACTAAAAGCTTGAGACAGGAACTAATGGACGGTCATTCTGAGGGATGCCAAGGCTAAACTGAAGGGTCGTGAACCTAGACGCGAAGAAGAAGAGGAGGATCGCGGTGTCTGAGACTTGTAATGTCTTCTTCCACTTTAACAGCGTGATCACGCTTCGAATCCCACTCGAGGCATATATGTATGCTTGCTTTTCTTCTGCATATTTGTTGTCTTAGAGGCCTTTCGACGAGTCAATCCAATTCCCGCCAAATGTCTATAAATAAGATTCCTGTACCCGGAAGAAGTGAGGCCTTGAATTGTGTGTTCTGTAGTGATATACAGGAAAAGGATATCCAATCTACTTGGTTTGATACAGTCAGGTTTGCGGAACATGAAGTAAGAACGTAACCACGCACAGTAATACTAGTACGCATCCTGTTGCGTGAATGCAACTAATAATATTAATTTTACAAATCNAGATATCCAATATACTTGATTTGGTACAGTCATCTTTGCGAAAGATGAAGTAAGAACGTAACTACGCACAGAAATACTAGTATTTTTACTGTTTGCATCCTGTTGCGTGAATGCAACTAATAATATTAATTTTACAAATCCAACCATCAACGCAACACTATCCAATAAGTAGCATATGAAGTATACATAGAATATATCCACTTCACGGCTTATATATGTAAACTATGAATAAGGGCCGTGCCATAGCTCAAGCGGTTAGTCGCTGGCTTCCCACCGCGGCGGCCCGGGTTCGATCACGGGTCTGGTCAAGTGGGATTTGTGATGGAAAAAGTGGCGCTGGGGCAAGTTTTCTCCGAGTACTTCGGTTTCCCCTGCCAATCTTCATTCCACCAACTGCTCCACAATCACCCTCACCTGTCATATGGGGCTCGTACAATAGGGCAGAAGTGGCCGCAGTATGAGGGACTTAGTACCACCCCACTAGCAATTAAAAAAAAGTTAGGAATATTGCGATCAACACTAATATAATGGTAAGAAATTCAAATAATATTACACATTGCAATTCAATAATTAATTGTCTAACTAGAAACACCCGAAGATGACCCTTTAAATGTCGAAACATATAGTATGGTTTAAATTAATGAACAGTTGTTGCGTTGACGGCTGAGTTTGTGAACTTAGTATTAATATTATTACACACAGTAGGCCTAGCAAGCTTATATATCTCAATGTGGAATCTCGGGTTTAACCCATGGCGGAAGAGATGGGATTGAATTAGTCTTTCTACGAATTTCTTCGGTATTCCCCTGCTAATCACGATTCCATAGTTGTTTCATACTCAGTTGTCACCTCCCTTTGAGGTCAGCGATGGTCGTGACCAGTCAACTCATCTTCATAATCTCGTTCTTTTAAGTGTGGGGCGGCTTCGTCTGTGACTTGGCTGGCGCCAGAGGGAGGAAGCTGAGCGGGAAGATCAACAGATGAAGGACAAGTGACGCTTATGACACGCCTTTTATGCGGTAATGACTGAAACGTCTGTTGAGGCTAATGAGAAGTTCGATCAGCGTATCTGTGGTAACTAACAATCAAAATTGATAAAAGAATAACGTTAGTTTTCTTCCGACGGAATCATCGAACCTGTGGACCACTGGACCAAAGGTTGTTTAGAACCTATTAGCTCAATGTGTGTGGCTACTGTGCCAGATTTTGTCACCACACGCAATATTTTTTTGTTTTTAATTTTGTGGCTTCAGCGCATTTAAGCCCAGATGCTGAGCCGCGCAGAATGTACACTTGACTTCCCATGTTAACAATTTATAGGACAACTTGCACATTTTCTGCTTTACTTCAACGATACTCCGTCTATTTCGTGTACTGAGTATTATACCGGTTCAAAGTGAAGAATTGTGAATTCTGAATTGGAATGTATTTGAAAGGAGACGGCCATGTTCTACTTAATTCTAACTTACTATCTGGGTATGTACCTAGTGTGACTAAGAACATCGCACAAACTTCAGCTAATACGTAACGGGGCCACATTTACGTTTAGGAGCCCCATCAAAATGAAATTGTCTCTGTACTAGTAAGATCAATCTGTTGATAACGCTTAATAAAATAATTGGTGTGTGTTCTGCTATTCAGACCAATGAGAATAAATATATGATTTTGTTGGCGATATGCATAGTTAGTGAACGTTGAACTTTCTGGGATTGGAAGCCATGTTACTCCGTAGTTAAGATATTTTGGAGGAACACTTTCTTAATTTTCAGGCTACAGAAATTTTCTGAAGATGGAGGACACACTTCTGGGACACCCATGTAAAGTAGATTTTCTTCTGAGACGCGTGTCTGTAATTTGTTTCAGATATATATTGTGCCACACAAGTCTTACTTCCGGGACACGTGTATATAGCACTTACTTCCGGGACACGTGTTCTCCCATGAGTACGTACTGGTCTTCGGGCGGGTTGCAGAAACCCAGATAATACAGGAACTGACTGGGGCAGGGCACAGCCCAGAAGCCAGCTCTGCTGTTGATCGACTCGATAAAGTACGGCGTGACCTTGGTGTGGTCACAGGACAGAGTTCCTGGAATATCGATGAAGAAAATTCGCATTAGTAAAGAAAACAATATTTTATTTTCTACTGAGGTGTTTCAAGAATCGATGGAAAAATCAAGGAACTGTTACCTGCTATTAGGGATATACTCTCCAAATGGGAAATGACTAATTTAAAAATGTGTGGGATTTAAGGACGTCGCAGCGGTGGTTATGAAAAGTTCTGTCATCGGATATAACACCGTGTGGTCTGCTGAATGTCAACCGAGACGTTGTTAGTCACGGAGCCATGAACACTTGACATTTTTGGTGTCATAAGTGGGATTCGAACCGACGTCCACGTGATAGTATTAATTATGCATAATAATATTGTGGAATCATTCGGAGCTCCCACTTCGCTTGCTGTAAACTTGAACAGATACCAACAGTATCAACACTGGTTATAAGCAGAGAAGTTTAATATTTAATTCCCCGGAAATTAATGGTTTTTATTTGAATGTTCTGTGGTTTTCGATCTTATACTCTCAGGTAATACAAACTACAGTCCGAAGGGTTTTAATGTTCCCAGGTCTTGCCTCTTTCGTGAGGCCTCGGTTCGGACTGAAGACTGTAGCGCTGGTGTCGAATCTTCAAGTATAAATAGAAAAATAATAATTTATAAAAATATGTTAATATTAAGTTAGAAATTAACGTTAAGTGGTCCGTTTCTTTTATTAATAATAAACAGTTAATGCAATCCATCTCGTTACGTGCTGTTTCAGAATCAAGATGAAAGTACCTCCAGAGTACAGCTAGGAACACTGGGACGGTGAACAGAACTAGCAAATAAAACGTCTATACAACTGGCAACGCTTCCAGCCACCACGTGACTGCTTCAAGGCGGACGGTGCTAGATGCTGGTACCCAGGATGGTCAAACACTGGCGAGACCAAATTAGATTCTTCTAGAACAGTGATTCTCAAACTTTGTCAAACCGCAGTCCGGTACCTGGCCGCGACTCGGCGGTTGAGAAACACTCTTCTAGAATGTTCCGAACTCTTAGTTCCTTTGCTAGGTAACGGATAGCTAGGGCTTTTTCCCATTAATTATGAAATTTTGCTGGGCTGCTAGGACCGCATGTGCCACAGAAATGCTTCTTTTAACGGCGTCGCTTTTATGAGTTTGAAGTCGCCAACATTAACATATCGTAACATTTATAACTAGGCAACGGCTTGGTAAACACATTTCCTAGGTAACACAGTCAACTATAGAACTTCAGCTACTAGGGTTTTGATACGCGCAGTGTAACTTTAACTGATTAATAGCCGATATATATTGCAACGAACCGGTCAAATCACAGCAACGGCTAGGAACGCGATAACTCGACTGTTGAAGGAGGTGATCTCCATACGGTTCGACCAGAACCTACCTCAGGGAGAGAACTGACAAACAGAAGTTAGAAGAAGTCAGAAGTGAAGTCTTTATTTGATGTGGTGTAAATACAGTAAGATTGCGTTACAACTAACTGTAGTTCCGCCTCGTGAATATCCAATAAACCGATTCATCTAATCCGGAACCCATTAATTACTTGTCACGTTACCAGGACACGTGAAAACTGGAGTCAGAAAGTGGTAACGGCAGTAAATTCGTGACAATATGTTATCGTCGGAAAGTTGTACCGAAAGTTAACAACTGCTTTAGCAATGATCCTTACTGAGGATGGAATTCTGAGCACACCCGGGCTGGCTCGTTCCCCCATTCACGTAGAAATCTGCGTGTCCGTTGGGCCCCCACTGGCCCAGTATGCCTGCGCCTGTGTGGATCACATCTATGAAGTGAGCATCCGTCGGGTCAAGGTCATGAGATCTGTTGTTCCCCATGAAGAACAGGATGGTGGGGTCCAGACCTGCCAACACATGCTAACTCTGTCACACGATTCCACATTCTCTTCGTAAACCTGTAAACACATCACCTAGGACTGCAGGTTTCTGGCATTATTCAACCTATCACCTGATGCCAGATTATATTCTTAAACCTATAAACAACTCATGTGCTCAGAATTACTGCATTTTTGGGCCCTTTCCATTGTCCGGAATTCTAGGAAATAGAAAACACGACTTTTCGGAAACTGGGTCTGTTTCCGTCTTCAATTGAGGAAGGAAGACACCTATTTCTTGAAAACTTTCAATTTCTTTGGGGAGAATTGTTGAATGGTGTAGTTCACGTATAATGTTTAACACAGTACGCCACATTGGCACCTTTCTTCTATAAGCCTACGTACTTGATGACACTGCTAAATGCACTAACGATAACATGACGTGCTTTCTCACCCGTGATCCTCCCCAGTTTCCCCTTGTTGATATAGTTGGCAACTAGCCCCGCGATATGGGCGCCGACACTGTAGCCAATGAGATGCAGGACGTCGGGGGGCACACCACGGGGATGATTGGACAAATAATCCACCAGCTGCGCGATGCACTTGGCCCCGAAACGAGGCGCCCAGTTGATCTGGCTTAGGCATGGTTCCTTGACTAGCGTCGAGTAGTCCACGATAATGATATTGTATTCACCACGTGTGAAGTAGGCTGAAAATACAATATATTTACAGTTGAAACAGTTGACTGTGCATGTAGCTCACAAGTGAAAGCAAGATATGCTTATATAATTTTAATGGATAAATTCGCTGACAGAAAGAAGCAAAAAACAAAGACAGATACTGAAAATCAGTTAATTAGTTTTATGAGTTTGGTGACACTGCCTCAAATTGACCTATCTCACCTGCCCGAGCTGATGCATTAGTACGGAGCATTGTGGAATGATGAATGACAGGGGAATCCTCGGAGAGAAATCTGTCCCAGTATCATTTTCTTCAGCTCAAAATCTGCATGACTATCCCTGGCGTGAACCCGGACCTTCGCAGTGAGAAACCTGACCTGGCACGGCAGGGATATATTAATATAATTTTTAAGGAAACAAATTATTTGCATTGAGCCTGCCCATAACCAGCCAGTGGCCAGTTCAGTTATTACACGGTTATGCTGAGGCCGCGGAAAGAGGCCCTGCTGATCGACTGGGAGATCTGTTTTGCATCTTCCCCTGTGATTCATATTTCAGTCCTCTAGACATTCAGGAGTGCCAGTAGTGACAGGCGGCTGATAAGCTCTTACAGCTGGTTTACATAGGCCGTAGACAACTAGACTGGGAAGCTTTCCAGGGGATTCTGTCCATGGCGACAGTACGGTGCATTCTGAGCTAAATTAAGAACCGAAACGATTCCATTTATTCACTCTCCTCTTGCGTAGCACACAAAGGTATGGCCTTCTTGGTACGCTTGTCATTATGTGGCCAAGTGTGCAATTATTGCGGTAGAGTTTTTGGGTGCAATTCGAATTCTAATTCCATAACTTTTTAATTTGCACGAGTGAAATTTAATCCTAAACACCAGTGTTATTGCTCGTGTAAAGCTCTAGATGTTGTGTTGTGTGATATTGACAAGGAGAACTGCCGCATCCCGAGGGAAGAAAGGGCACTTCTGCTTGTTGAGTAGAAAGAATTAAAGGAGGGTGTTGAGAAACAGCACTTTCACAAGTGTTATTGAAATTACGTTCTTAAAATGTAACGCGCTATCTGTGTAACTGTATGAAAATCGTTTTCACTTTCACTGCACTTCTGGGCTGTCTCTTCCAGCAGATTAATATACAGCAACCTAGTGTGCAGAGGCGCCGTCGTTGTCGAGGAAGGAATTGTGATGAGGCAGGCAGAGTGCATAAGAACAAATGCAGGACATGGCTCCTCACCCGTTTGACTTTTTATTGACGCCTAATTTTCTCCAGATTATTGCCTTTATGCCTATGCAACTTGGCCTCTTATAATCTTAGAAGAACGAAGACTGGGAGTGCCTGTGGATGAGCGAGAGAGAGGCTGGGCAGATTAAATAATGGGGAACTTCATAATCTGTTTCATTCTCCGAATTGTACTAGGGCGACGAAACGACGGAGACTGGGGTTGAAGGGGCATGTAGAACGCGTTAGGGACATGAGAAATACGTTCACAATTTAATTTGGGAAACTAAAACAAAAGACAACTTGGGACACATAAACGTTGAAACGCATATTAAGGAAAGGAGTTTTGGGCTCGATTAGTGAATTTCAGAATAGAGCCAAAGGCGGGGTTCAAAGCATATTAATAAATCATCGGGTCACTTAAAATCTTGGAAATTTCTTGACTAGCTGAGTGATTAGCTATCAGAATTCGAAAAAGAATATAGGAGGATGAACTGGTCACGCACAATCGCTTATAACTCGCCAAACAAATTTCTGACCAAAATCAGGATTATCCAATTGACAAAGTAGGCAGCTGCCCAGAATCCCTGCCACTCGACCATCAGTACCATCTGCCTAACTCTTCTAACGCATTATCTAAATATATATATTGGCGAAATTCTTAGCTTTATTATAATTACATTTCCAGCAACTGTGCCACATGTCATTAGCACACGGACTACTAAATAGTTCCGTGTTTCAGCCTTAGATGTCAGGAGCACAATCATAAAATGCAAGAAGGGAATGGATTGTCAAAATAGGAGGGAGATGCAGTATATAGGTCACATATGGATGTAAAACAACTGCCGTGGACGTAATAGGTTTTATACGAGTATCGCTAGGTAGCAGCACAGTCAAACTTCATGACAGTCTAGGTAGCAGATGTGCATGCATATGTTCAATGCTGCATTTAATTTTCGACTAAGTTTCACAATATTTAGGGCAGCATTTGAGCATATCCCAAAGACAGATGGCCGTGATAAAGAAGTGGCTTTGTCGATGAAATTCACCAACGATTGAATGACGAAAGGATGTTTCGGCAGCCAGCAGCGGACACTCGTATGCCAACAAACTTCTAACCGGCTAGCCTAAAGTTAAATTGGATTCTCTATAGCAACAGCGTTTTGTGCTATCAAGGTTAGTGTCTTACGGTAAAAGTATCTGTCTATCCAAAACACTTCCATTTCATAGCGTACACATTCAATACAATAGTGATTTTTAAATATTATTGAAGGTCTGTGTGACATTAATGCAGTATGACCGCTCATGACATAGATAACCGCTGCAGTTTACTGTTGAAATTTCAACGAATTTTATGCCTGTTAAAATGATAGTAATTTCAGTGAAAATCAGCACGCCCCACCGCATTGTTCTCGATAATTTTGTTACAAGATTATACGCGTAATATAACAGTAAGTTTCACTTTCATATGCGTAATTATAGAGTATTACGATTGCAACACACAATTTCTGTGGTTATGGCTGACAGCCGAACTAGCGTTAAATCATACATAAAGAACAGTATAAATGCTTTGTTTGCGAGTTTATATATCTCACTGGCATCAACATTCAATTCTGCTGCATCAGTACAGTTACCGGTATAATTAAAATATATATATTCTTCATGTTATTCAATATAAATCCTCACACATTTCAATTTGGATAGGACATCCCTGTGAAAATGCTCGAAATCTTTTACTTCAATGATCTTTATTTAGCATCCACTTTTTTTTTTATACCTGGCTTCTGGTTCACATATCGGGAGAAGTAAATAGATGTATTGGAGCAGTGGTTGCAATTGCACTCTGTGAGGGAGGAAAGTAGGTTGTCACAATGCAACCAAGGCCCTGTTATATAAACTACCCCCCCTCCCCCCCACAGTACTTATCTCAGTTAATGGGTTCGAGCAAACCCACTGCGCATACTGTGGAACACGACCAGATCTACGAACACAAACGAACGCATTTTCAGTTGCCATATTCTGTCTCCATTTACATTATCGTCATAGTATTTGGTGCGTAGAGCCGGGATAGCTCAGTTCGAGCGACGGGCTACTGATAGGACGGCCAAGGAACTGAGGTTCAATTCTAGAGAGTGGCAGAAGATGTTCACAGTTTCCAGAGTGACTCTGGGGTCAATCCAGCCTCCTATCCGATGGAAAGAGTGGCTCTTTTTCCAGAGGTAAAGAGACAGGGACGTGAAGCTGACCAAACACTGCCACCTAGTGTCGAGGACAACTAGAACACCACTCCCCCCATGCCTCTTCACGATGTGGTGTTAGGGCGGCCGCACACCAACTGCGTCAAGGCAAGCATCAAGACATGAGACAAAACACGCCGTCTTGCTTCATTCGTGATTCGTTAGCATGAGCTGACGTCAGCATCATGACTCAGACCGGTGTGCGGCGGTTTGCATAATCTCATTCGTTTCAACTGGGCTCCTTTCTTTGCGTCATGTCGCAGACATTGTGTCTTGACTGTTACATGTCTTGACGAATGCCGGTGTGCGGCCTACCTTAGGCTCTCCTTGGACACACTGAAGTTTACCTTTCTGTAGGTCGATTTGAGTCGTGCTGATTCCTTTGTTCTTCAGCCGTAAGCTACAGAACGTGTGAGTTACGTGCAGTCTGTTAGGCCGCGCCATAGCTCAAGCGGTTGATCACTGGCTTCCCACCGCGGTGGCCCAGGTTCGATCCCGAGTCTGGTCAAGTGGGATTTATGGTGGACAAAGTGGTTCTGGGGCAAGTTTTTCTCCGAGTACTTCGGTTTCCCCTGCCAATCTTCATTCCACCAATTGCTCCACAATCACCATCACCTATCATCTGGGACTGGTACAATAGGCCAGAAGTGGCCGCAGTACAAGGGACTTAGTCCCACCCCACTAGCAATACAAAAATACGTACAGTCTGAGCTCTAACGGCGCTTTGTGTAGTTCAGATTTCCCATTAGGTCGATTTTTAGGGGTGGTACCTTTTGAAAACCTTTAGGAATATGTGTTTGTACTTTTCATTCTTATAGACCTTGAACTTAGTTGTTTGGTACTGATAACATACTTAAAGTTTAAGACCATTTAGTGATTTATTTTGTGCAGGAGTTCACTTCATAATATATGTAACCGGTTAAGGTAAAATTGTCCCTGTGCTTACCTAATCAAGCACTACACTATGAAGACGTATGGGGGATTGGATATATAGATCCACGTTTTCTTGACCTCGGCACTAGTTGGATGTGAGTTTTCAGCTTCACGCCCCTGCCGCTTTACCCCCTTGGAAAGAATCCTCGATACCCATTGGATAGGAGGCTGGGTGAACCTCAGAGCCGGTTTGGACGACGTGGAGAAGAGTAAATTCTTGAGCCTACCGGGATTCGAACTCTAACTCCTCGGTCGTCCAGTCCGTAAGCAGTCGCTATACCGACTACGCTGTCCCGACTCCTTATAGTATATGTAGTCTCTTTTTTAATATTATTCTAGTAACCATACTTTATTCAATCAAATCATTGAGATTCACCCATCCCCATTAAAAGAGGCCGAGGAAAGAGCGTGGGGGTATCAGTGCTACGCCTTGATGGATTTGAGTATAATTAATTAAGCTCAAGGTAAGGTAAATGTAAGGTTGTCCGTGTGCTTTACTAATAAAGCACTACGGCATGAAGCAGTGGATGCATAGATCTAAGTATTCTTGACTTCGGCACTAGTCGGGCGTGAGTGGAAAAAGTCCCCGCTACCCATTGGGTGGTCCCCAGAGCTGGCCTGGACGACGCGAAGAACAGAAAAATATTGCCCCTACAGGGACTGGCACTCCGTCTCGTCGGCCGTCCAGCCGGTGGCCAGTCACTATACCGACCGAGCTATCCCTGCTCCTATTAAGCCCAATGACAATTTGTTAATGGTTAGAGGATCAATCAAGGGTACATGCGTATTGAAGCAGGTCACGTCCCAGAATATTTTAACAAAATAATTTAAATTATGAAAACCAGTTCCGGATTTATATAATATGTTGAAAATGTGAGAGAAGCGATACTTCTGTGCGTTCTTTACGAAATAAGAAGAGGACGTCCCATGCGAAAGTCATGTTTACCCGTTTGTCTGTCTGTAATATTGTTCCGGCGCCTAAACCGACGGTCAGATTCCCGATTTGGTGTTCGAAGCTCTCACTAGAAGATGTGTGGCAGTTGGGACTAACAAGAAAGCCTAGCTTTTCGTGTACATTATAATCGCTAATAAAACTATATTTTTAATGGCTCTTCCAGAACATTCAGGGCCCAGGCCTCTTAGTGGTAGGACTCCTTGGACGAGTGATCAGTCCATCGCAAGGCCGCTATCTACACACGCAACACAAACACAGAATAAAGGCAACCAGACACCTATGCCTCGAGTGGGATTCGAACCCACGATCCCAGCGTTCGAGAAAGAGAAGATAATTCATGCTTCAGACCGCGCGGCCACTGTGACCAGCAATAAAACTACATAACGTTAGCGTCCATTTGTCTATAATCCGTCTAAATTGCAACACTTTTTATTTTACACTTCGATACACTCTCTAACACTACATGTTTCGGCCTCAAACGGCCATCTTCAGGTGTTTTTTTTACAGACATTCAATTAAGATTGTGTGGAAATTGTGTTGAAACTGCTACACTGTTTCACTGTTCCATTTCATTTTAAAGAAACCACACGCTGTAGTCTTCTTTTGAATTAAAATCATATAAAATTCTTTTATAATTTGTTATTTATTGTTTTGCTTCACTCAGGGTGTCGTCATTTCCGTAAAATATAATTTACGGAAATGACGTGTGGTTTTTTAAAATGAATTGGAACAGTGAAACAGTGTAGCAGTTTCGACAAAATTTCGACACAATCTTAATTGAATGTCTGTAAAAACACCTGAAGATGGCCGTTTGAGGCCGAAACATGTAGTGTTAGAGAGTGTATCGAAGTGTAAAATAAAAAGTGTTGCAATTTAGACTGATTATAGACAAATGGACGCTAACGTGAACAATTGCAACAGGATGCTGAAATACAGAATCAAAACTACATAAACCGTACGGAAGTAAGAACCTGCAAAGAACGCCGGCTAGAACTTCTAGACTACGTTACGAAGTAGATCTGCAATATTTCCAAATTCTTTTAACGTATCACCAGTGCAGAACCCCGGAATGAATGTCCTGCAGGCTGACGTCACTGCGAGACGTGTCGCGAGATGAAACTTTTCATAATTCATCTCCTTTTTCAGCAGTTTGCAAATCGCACCAACGTAAAAACAGCGTCTAGAAATGTAGCACTTAACCAAATAAAGTTAGATTAGAAGTTTCCATGGGAATGGTTATGAAGAATACGATTATCTGAGATGCACCACTGTTTAGTTCATTTGAAGTCCACCGACATTTCGGAGGAGAATATTACTGCCATCTTCAGTGTAGAAGAATAGGTCAAGCAAGGAGCAAAATGCGTTTTAATTGCCTCCGGTTACTATTGGTCTCTTGCTTGGCCTACATTTAGACTCCAAAGATGGAGGAATTATGTTCCTCCTCAACGTCAGTGGACTGAGACACGGCGTTACAAACTAGAACACTTTATTCTTCGTGATAAATTAATAGTTTTCGTAATTCTTAAGCAGGGAGAACATACGTAAGCAACACACCTACAGCAGGATAGGCGCTGGGATCAATTCTCCATGTATTCGAAGCTCTGGCACTGCATGAAGTCGAGTGTTTCAAGAAGCAAGCGCAACCTAGCTTAACGCAGCGTGTGAGATGAGATTTTCTCTCGGGTAACAAATTATCGAGAAAGGTTTAATTCTTTAAAGCAGTGATTCCCAAAGTGGGCAGTACGCACCTTAGATGGGGGCCGCTGGATTACAGAGGGGGCGCTGGAAATGGGCCCCTCGAATGCGTTCCTCGCTTATTTCAAATTGAAGTGACTTTAGACCAGACATCGGAAACCGGTGTCACTTCATCAAGCCCATCAATCACATTAAGAAGTGGTTACTAAATGCGGTGTCTTATCGTATTGCTATTGTCTTCCTCAGTGGGTTATTCTAAGGGATTCTTTTTATAGGGTTGGTTAGGGGATACTGGGGGTGGTTTTGTGGGAAAGACGGGGCAGTAGCCCGAAGAAGTTTCAGAAGCACCGCTTTAAAGCATAATGGTAACTATATGCACCACCTGCTTTGACAATAAGAACCTCTTCATTTTTTTTTCTGCAGATTCATTTATGTGCTTCATATGATTCTCACAACATCGGCACTTTCTCTGAGCAACATTAATCACCTGGTCGTTGTAATAGAGACATAAAGAGTTTTCTCGGAGGTATGAATGGAAAAGTTAACTCGCTAGCTGCGAAAAGCTGCAGAAGGCCCCAATCCAAGTGTAATGGAAACCTGCTGAGCTGACGGTCATGTAAGTTTACTCCTACATGAGTTATTCCAAAATTTGTCGACTTATTCCAGTTTTGCTTAAAATTGGGCAATACAGATGCTTTTAGTTATACATTTTAATTGGATATTTAACGACGCTGATAGCGTCACGCCTATAAAGCGTCGGCTAATAGGACGAGCAATGAATGAGGAGCAATCTGCGAAGTGAGCATTGGCAGGGGAAATGGAAGTACACGAAGATAATCCGCTCTAGTGTCACTTTGTGTACCACAAATCCCATACAGTCCGCCCCTTCGGGGAGCCGGAGACAAACAGCCTGAACCATGTCAAGGTCCCAGCAATAACGGACACCCTAAAAGACATGCATGCTCTTTTGCAGGTGTCTCGAGTTCGAGTCGCTAAATGTTACATTTTGCGAGCACTTCAATTTCTCTACAAGTCTTACTAGTTTCGACATATTTATAATTATTGTTATGCCATGTGTACAAATCTTAACTTGCAAAAATGTTATTTAGTTTAATTTCACATTTCAATGCGATAAAGCTTTAATGCAATGTCGTTTCTTGGGTTTCATAAACACACGAACGCATACATTGAACTCAGCAAATTTTCCTTTCAATGTTATCAGCTACTCAGAAATAGCTTTTCAGTCAAATAATTTTATGGTTACTTAGAAATATCTAGTTAAGTATATAATTATGACAATCAAATTAACTAATCAACTAACTAACTAGCTACAATGAGCGGAGCCCTTCTTCAGGCACCAAGCCTTTCACCTGCTTACGAAATCCCACGCCTTTTATGTCGAGGCGGTTTAAGAGTTTTCCGAGCCACAGGCTACGGAAAGATGTGATAGGGTTGTGGGTATGTTTTGCGCTATTTATTATTTATTAGAACAAATGGAGACAGGAAACGGAAAATACGCTGTTTCGTTGCTTCTAAAAGCCTTATAGGCCTTCCACCCTCTGATGAGAAGCAAACTGCGTGTCCGCCACGCCGGGGCCCAAGGCTATGTCACACATTGTCCATGTCTAAATTTGCACCTGTTTTTATATATCCTGAAGTTTCATTCCTATGTTGAGAAGAGTCTGTCACTGGTCTTGAGTCAATGAAATACATTCCACTCCTGTTCATTTAAATCACATTTTAATATTACTTAAATATATGTGAAGACAAAATAGTTGAATAATTTGTAGTCATGTTTAGAGAGAATGACCTTCGGTGTTAGGGAGCCCATACACATACGAGTCTGGCTCGCTAGTCCGACTCATACGTGTATGGACCGCCTTAGATTGTACTCCGACAGTCCTGCGTGACAACAGTGCACTTAAGTAGCAACCACGTACCGTCTCTGAGATCTGTGCTAGGAGAAAGATGGCGGCCGCCGCCAAAGCCATGTATGATAATTTTCGTGGGGTGGCTTGCATTAAACCGAGATCTGTACAAGGAACTGGCCTGGAGCGAGTTCAGTAGCTCTGGGTTCTGCTGTGTGTCCCTGAAAAAAGCAAGACAAAATTTAATTCCATATGGTATCTTCATACCATCGCTATAAATTATTAACATATATCAGGTAGCGTCAGTAAATAGGTCACAAATGCATATAAAACGTAAAACGTGGGATATTCGAACCTAGAAAAACATTTATTTCTCGACATATCCTCCACCAACANATTTGTAGTAATGTTTAGAGAGAATGACCTTCGGTGTTAGGGAGCCCATACACATACGAGTCTGGCTCGCTAGTCCGACTCATACGTGTATGGACCGCCTTAGATTGTACTCCGACAGTCCTGCGTGACAACAGTGCACTTAAGTAGCAACCACGTACCGTCTCTGAGATCTGTGCTAGGAGAAAGATGGCGGCCGCCGCCAAAGCCATGTATGATAATTTTCGTGGGGTGGCTTGCATTAAACCGAGATCTGTACAAGGAACTGGCCTGGAGCGAGTTCAGTAGCTCTGGGTTCTGCTGTGTGTCCCTGAAAAAAGCAAGACAAAATTTAATTCCATATGGTATCTTCATACCATCGCTATAAATTATTAACATATATCAGGTAGCGTCAGTAAATAGGTCACAAATGCATATAAAACGTAAAACGTGGGATATTCGAACCTAGAAAAACATTTATTTCTCGACATATCCTCCACCAACACTGATACACCTGCTCCATCGCTTTACCAGTGCGTCCAAATTCGCAGCATAGAAATATTTTTCTTTATTGTTGTCTCAACAATTTCTGCACCTCTGTTTCGACCATTCGTCATCTGCGAAACGTTTGCCACCTTTCTGAACTCAGTTGTGAACCGCTTTACGCGACAAACACTTCCCATCGTAAATAGGAAATATATATTTATTAATGTCCTTTGCATTGATTCCTTTTGCCTACAAAAACGCACACAAGAAAGTTGTTTTTCGACAGTACATCCCTCAAGCACGGTCGCCATTTTGACTACTGAAACCAGCCTCTGAACATGAGCATGCGCGTCTGCTACCTAGACTGTCATGAAGCTGGAATGCTCTGCTATCCAGTGATACACATAGGAAATCTATTACATTCATTACAGATGCTCTACTTCCATTTGTGACCTATTTACTGACTCTCCCTCACAGGTACATCAAAAGAATGGCTGTCTTGAGCAAAGAGAAAATAAAAGTACAGACTGTGTTTTTAGATCAGACCTCTGGCCCTTGAGGGCAAATAGGGCATGAACTTGCTGCGCAGTAATTGTTGCTGCATTTCTGGAAGTGGGAGAGAGACATGCCGTTGCTAGTTCATAACCCGTGAATCTGCCGTGGTCCTTATCTCAGTAAGAGCGCTCAACCTAAACCACTCCGCATTTTCTTCAGAATTATCAGGCACAAAAATACGGCCAGTAAATCGCTAGTACTGGGACCATCGTGACAGCAATAATTGGGTTAATTATAGTTTTATAAACGATTCGAACAATAAGTTCTTTTTAATTATCACACTACATGTTTCGGTCTGGAGACACTCATCAGATGTGTGTAAATAAATAAATAAATAAATAAATGTAAACAGGTTGTTGGAGAATTATATGATTAAATGAATTCATTTTCCAAATTTCATACAATTTTTAAGGTAAAAACATAAAGTTGTCTCTGAGATAATTAAGCACTAAGCCATGAAAACCTACGGGGGAATGGATAGATCAACATTTTCTTCACCTCGGTATTAGCTGGAGGTGAATGGTCAGCTTCACGCCCCGGCCGCTTTAACTGCGGGGAAAGATTCTCCGGTGCCTATTTGATAGGAGGCTGGGTGGGCCATAGAGCCGGTTTGGAAGACATGGAGAAGAGAAAATTCTTGTCCCTATCGGGACTCGAACTCCGGCTCCTCTATCGTCCAGCTGATAGCTAGTAATTATACCGACTGCACTATCCCGGCTCCTACATTTATAGAAAAAGCCAATAAATATTTCTATAAGAAAGTTGCAGATGTTGGGTCTGAGGGTCTCACAGCAGTGGGTATGAAGAGTCTTGTCTTCCCAAGTATAATGCAGTATAGGCCAGTGAATGTCAATCGATGTTTCTAAAGAACATATCGCCTCCATCTTCAGGAAAAAATCAGCCAAGTAAGAATGTAGCATATAGTAGGCAGCAAACAAGAGCTGCCACAGCTTCTCCAAGACTCCTTATCCTTGAAGATAGCAACTGCAGCTTTGTCGAAACGTCCAAAAACCTTCACATTCAACGCAGCCTAGTCCCGAAAGCTGAAGGCTTTTTATTGTGATGATTAAGGAATTCTTCTCAAATTCGCACGATGAAGGGGCTGAATTACTTAGGTTATGTACGTATTGTATGGAAATTTTTCATGCTTAATTGTTTGGAAGCTTATGGAATTTTCTGTTTTATTGATCCCTTTTTCTTCTGAAGTGCAAAATTAGTAAACTGTGACATGACTTGTTGTATGATGGACAGGAATCCATAATCCTGATTTAGTCAATTTTTTGGAAGATTTGATTTAATATTTATCATAATATTTTCATATAAGATCATGTTTCAGCTTTGGCGAAAGTTTCTAAGATGGAAGGCTAATCCGATCATAACTACTTTCTTTAGTAATGGCACTACAACTCCAAAATTTATTAAGCGAAAGTTGTTAAAGATTGTTTTGTTACATCACAAATTGACAGTGTTGTGGATTTATTATTTAGCAAATGTCATTGGTTCGCCATCTATGTGCAACGGGTCCTACTAAAACTTATTTAAAGTTTCTATACATTGCACTACATATTTCGATCGACATTAGTCATCATCAGGTGTTTATTGTTTCTGTGGTTCTGATATTTGATATGTACTCCCATCTACGCGGTCCTGTATTTCGTGGTGCTGGGTGGGTCTTCCTGTTCTGTTATGGGTCTAGAGTACAGATGCACTGCCGCTAAGATTCTAATAATTTGTGGACCCTCCTTAAGTTTCCAAGACCTAGGCAAATAGATATGTTTTACAGGCACAAGAGAAAGTTACCGCATATCAAATGAATGCGAAGTGTTTTTGAATATATTAATTTTCGTCAGCCATATAAACCAACGTACAATGGCAGAATGATTATGAGCTGGAAAAGATGTGGAGGGAAGGGGCCCTAGCCTGCTATGCGAATTATCCCATCCTTGTCCTACTGGTATTTCCGTGCTATTCGTCAGGCTGTCGCCACCTGCTGCTCACAGCGGTGTTAGGCGTTTATTCCCAATGCAGACCATCTGGGATTTGTGGACGAAGGGGCACTGGAGCGGTTTTCCCATTCCCATGTGTCATCAGGGGCTGGTACAGTAGGCCTATTTGAGGCCTTAGGTGAAATGGAGTCTCACATCAATCCTGAGAAAAGAAGAGCTTACGCCATGCAACACTATCCTGTTTGAATAGTCGACAGATGCTGAGCTATTCATGAAAAGCTCCTCCATTTAAGTGACCCGAATATTCATTACTTAGTTCAGAAGAAGCCGCCACTGGGACTTACCCTGTTCCAGTTTAACCCAGTCCACAGCCTCTCGCCTTATTTATTTATGATTGATTTCAGTAATATTAAATGTCAGCATTCTGTTGCACTGTGTAGATATGAATTTGCATTCCACTTTTTGCGTCCATGTGCAACGTCAGTTAGTATTCACTCGTAGTCTTTTCTTTATTGTATATCGCTATATGTTTCTGCTCGAACGGCTGGTTGGATCTAAACGCGTAGTGATACACAATGAAGAGAAGACGAGTGAATATTAACTGACGTTACACATGGACGGCAAAAAGTTGAACGCAATGTTAGGGATTCCTTCTTACCTTAATAATTTTCGACCGAAATTCTATACGAATCTCTAAACTTAATGCTACGTGTCTCCCACTCAGTGTATCCTCCTTTATTATCTTATAATAATAATAATAATAATAATAATAGTGGGGTGGGTAATAATGTGGGGAACTTCCGTTGTGGTACGCGATCTTCTGACAGACGTTATAATTAGAAGTGCCGATATTCTCTTTTCGGTTCACTCGAAATCGAGGATGTTGCCTCGAGTGGTAGTGCTTCTGGCTTGTGAGCCGGAGGTACCCGGCTGGAATCTCGTCGGCAGGAGCACCGACTCTACCTCAGGCCGGGACACTACCTGAACCTAGACCAACATGGCTTTCTTCCGCATCCTTTACAATCCACAATCCATTCCCACCACAATCTTCTGCGTTATCACAGGATCCTTAAGTGATCGGCAAATAAATAAATAAAATGTTCATATCTTTATAATTATCAAGTGATCTGCAGCCTCACGCACTTTGCAACTCACCGTGTGTATAGATAGAACTCTATGCGGGGGTGTGGACACGTGTAAGGCTGTTGAATACACGAAGTCGTGTTGACCAGATCATTCACTGTCCTAGGCCTTCCGTTCGGTCGCTGTTGAGCTCCGGCCCCTGCAAGAAAGACGTTACGACTCAGCAGATTAATAGCATGTTCAGACCAATACCATGCCATGAAACGTTGCAGGCATACGTCGACCTACGGCTTTCCAACTTAGGAATTTCCGGACTTACGAGCCCATCAAATAAACACCCAACAACACCCACCCGTATTTCGGACTTCCGCTATAATACGTGTATAATGTTCTGGTGTCGTAACTTTTGGGAGTAAAATATCAATTAACTACTCATTATTAATAAAAAAATATAAAACTATCCCTGTAACAGGCCGTGGAGGCCCATAGAGTTGTGAGACGTCGAGGCTCCCACATTTTCTAGACGGTCGGCTCAGAGATGGCGGTGAGTTTGTCAGACTTACACGCCGGCAGCCCTTTACCCCCAGGAAGTTTCCTGGTACTCATTTGTGTAAGAGGCTGAGTTGACCCCACGGCCATGGTGCGGTTGGAAGAATTGGGTCAATTTAATCAGGAATTAAACCCACGATTTTCCGGATTGTAGCATAGTGTCTCAACCAACTATGCTACCGTATGCCCCATTATTTTTAATAGCTTCATAATTTAAATATTTAACACTGTGTTATTTAATGTTCCTCTATTGATTATATAAGAAAAGTAATGGAATTACGGAGAACTGCGGTTTAAAATACTATAAAATGGGTGCGATACCTTGAACACTAGCAATGTAACCCACTACGTATTGCATTATTATGAACTTCGCTTGCGATCCGTTTTCCGGAAACCCGCCGCGTCACATGTTTCGGGTAGGACTATACCCACAATACTTTTCTAGAACTCATTTCAGCGATGCTGTCATATTGCTTGTTATGTCTTCATTGGTTTATTTAAATATTTAGCTCAGACTACGTAACGTTGAACGATAGGAATAGTGAACAACGAAACAGGGGAAGGAAATGGAAAGAAACATTTGTCGCGCAGTTTGAGGGAATCCCCAAATATCTGCGTCGACGGACTGGATGAATATACAAAAAAAAATTTAAGTATCGTCGCTAGCCTGACTAAGATATGAATCTCAGTTTCTGGAATACAAAAAAGTAATTTTACTCACACGCCAGCGACGTTTCATTCTACACACTCAAAGTGAAATCCTGCGAATGAAGTTTTCAGTTTCACGAACAGAGCAAAGTCTCATGGACGTAGTACTGAGCGCTCCATCACTGGCAGTGTGGGAACACGCTTGTGCACGAGACACAATCTGCTTATCCTTCCATACCATCAGCATTTTTCGTCGAATGTATTTCCTGAATGTTCCTGAATTTGAATATAGGATACAGGAATAAATGTTCATTACAGAGGAACAAATTCGAAACGAGCGCTTGATTAGATACCGCAAAATCATATCAAAATGACATAGATATCTGCTCCTCTTGTGGTTGAACGAACGACGCTGTCAGTATGCAGGCAATATAGTGTGAAATGGCAGGATACGACGTTGTGAAGAAAGTAGACTAATGAATTATAAAGGATTTGGGAAGAAGCATTTAGGCCTCTTCGAGATATTATCACACCATTTTTATAAAGGATCTGAGGAAAACCACCAAGAACATGAGTCAGGATAGCTGATGTCCCCGCCGAGATTCGAACTGAAAACATCTCGATTAAAAGCCTGGAGTTTTCCGGTAACTCAGTCAGCTCAGCCATAGCCTCCCTTGTCCGGTCCAGAGAACCATAAATTTCTCCACTGGAAAGCCTGACGTTATATTTCTGAGTCACAACAGCAGATCCTTCTCTCATGGCCCTTTGCATTCCTTCTGAGAAGCCGGATTTTTTCAGACGTCGTTGTTAAAAGGATTATCACGTTACTGTAGACGAGTTTTGGTTTGGTGGATGGATTTATTCGTATTCGTTGTCGCGGGAACGCGTTTACAGTCACTATCTATTCGCCTTATCTCGCGGTCGTTGCTTAACAACGGCTGCACACTTTATAATGTAAACAAATCAGATGCTGATTCCGATCTTGAATCTTTAAACTGTGTGGATGTGGGCAACGTTACCGAAGTTTTGGAGGCGAATGCTGCCTCTGTCTTCAGGCTAGAAGTGAGTAATGCGAGTCAGTGTTCTGGTATATACAGAATTTTGCTCAAGAAGAAACGGAAGGAAGAGTGGTGGCTGGTGCCTGGTCCGGACCAATTTGGAGAGTGGTCAGCCAAAAGTTAACACGCGGTCATTTCCAGGAGCATCAGGTGAAACTAGTACACCCAAGCAATGATCCATTAAAATGTTCAACGAGCACAATGCTACTTAATGAGCGGTAAGTGACGTTACTCATGGGTCACATTTACATTTACATTTGTTTAATTATTTTCATTTACAGAAAAAGACACATTCCCCAGACGATATTTTGATTATAATGACTCTTATTTCTTGTTTAATTATTTCTTTGTCTTTAATATTCATTTCAGACTCCATTCAAGAAGTGACATCACTTATCACTTTCCTATTGTTTTGTTTCGTAACGCACCGTTCTTACGTGCTGTATTTACCTGCACAGTAGTTCCCACCGCCAGACGTCCCACTGTGTGTTTATGTAAGTTTCCTTTTTGTGTTTCTCCGAAGCGAATACTTTGTGAATTACAATAGAGCCACGTACGGTATGATTCTCACGTCATACCTGCTCCACAAGAATAGATTATCGTTGTTAATTCAAATAATGATCACGTCACGGGAACAGTCTTTTTCCATCATCGGAGGCCAGTGCTGTCAGGATCCTTTGAAGCCTACACACCGCTATCCGAAAGCCATCTGCTTTCCTGTATTAGACCATTCAATAGCTGAAACAACGCGCCGAAGAGTCCGAATTACTAGCTAAAAACTCCCAGAGAAATCAGGCATTAAATATGGTCACGACTCCCGAGGGAGTCGAAGCAAAGAGTGACTGTGCTGGCGAGGCCCAGCAGCCAGTCAGTCAGCCAGGCTGTTAGTCGCCGGCTTCTGAAGGCGTAGGCCCTAGGGCAGTCCATGTGGAATTTTTATGATGGACTGGCACTGTAGGAGGAATGTCTCGAGTACTTCGGTTTTCCCTCTGCCAATTATAATTCAATAAATATTTTATTACCTCATATATTATCCGTGTCTGGTACAGGAGGCCCATTTGGGTTGCAATATCAAGGGACTTAAAACTCCATCCAAATAATAATAGTAACAAGAAGTTCTGGAAAGAACTAATGCCTACGTTTCTTCCACTACATATTGAGCGTTTGATTGAGCACAGCTCGCATAGAGAAAATCACGTCCAACAGTTCTATGGTGTGTGTATTCGTTGCCATGGGAATTTGTTTACCGAACCGTTGCCTACCTGCGGCCGTGTCTTCTGGCTCCAGCACTGCTGGTTTCAGGCACTGGGATGGGGAACATATACGCACAGACAGCAAGATGTGTTCATAAGCCTCCTCTGTTTCTCAAAATAAGGGAAGGAGGCTAACAGTACGCACACGCCTATATATAGTTCTCTTCGGTAAATAAAATATTCGCCCTACTTTGGAATAATTCCTGAGAGTTTTATTCTATGAACGGAGTATTCCTGCCTGATGATGGGCATATATGACTGAAGCATGTCGCAGTAAATGAAGATCTAATGTAATACTGAAATATTTGTTGTACTGACAGTAGCATAGTTCCTACATATTATGTATTGTCCGATACACACAGCAGGATGCAACCAATGAAAATAGATATGTTCACATTTGACTGGAAGGAACCACAAAATATTGTCACATGCGTTAGTGGCTATAGACGGCTTCTGGATTGCATGATTGGATTTATTGACACTTTATACACTCACAACTAGGGACTAAGGCAATACAGCGCTGTCACTGGTCAGTTCACCGTTGCACACGCACTAGGATTTTCACTCTTCACTGGTCTTATCCAGGCAACGGATTTATCACAGTCTCACTGTAACTTCAAATGATACATGAAGTCTAATCCCTTCCTTGCCTTTTTCCCTCATTCACTTTGGACTGCCATCTTCAGAATTCGAGCCAATTCTTGACAGCAACTACTCAAATGAACTCTTCTTCAACTGAACTCTCTCAACTTCTGACAACTATCTCAAACGTCAAAGTCAAAGTCAAAGTCACATTGCGACTGACGGTCAGTCAGTCAGTAAGTCTAGGTGTCGAGCCCCATCTGAGGCTCATAGTCAGATATTTATTACTGTTTGACAGTTACGGTCTTGTTTCTTGTGGGGCGCTCTCTCTGACGATAGGACGGGTCTGTCTTTTGTATATACTGCTGGTCCTTGCCAGCGCAGTCTTTCTCGGGTCCGAGTCCCTTGCTAATCGCGACCATATTTTACTGTCTCAGATTTGAGACCAATTCGTCCCCTCCTATGACTCGCAGGGTCACGGTGCAGGTATTCGACCCCGCCTCCACACGGGGCTAACTCAAATGAACCCTCTTTGTCCCTTTATAACCCCTAGGTACTGACCACGCAGAATACATAGCCACTGTATAGTTGAGAAGGCTTGTTTACTGATCCGTTGCCTAGCAATGGACGTCCTATGTTCCGCGCGTTGGCTCCAGCGACAATGTCTTCAATGCGTCGTTTCCTAGCAATGGGTCTATGCGTCACAATACAATTGGCTGCTTCTGCAGGCGAGATTAGGAAGCAGCACTCGTGAATTCAAGTCAGGCTTGTGGTAGCTGTGTGACCGCTTGGCCGACTATTTGCCTGGGAGATTTGAGGAACTACAGCAATTTTTCGTTAGGACTTTCATATTCAGAGAGAAGGCCGCAGTTGATTGGACAGAAATTCTGCTTCGCATTTGGGAGGTCCCGGACTGAAATCTAGACCCCAAGACTGGCTATCTTCACTGAGGTCTCTCGTGGTTTTATTCAAGCCCTCTGAGAAAATGCCTGGATTGGACCTAGACATAGGTCACTTCTTTCTTTCACGTGTCTGCTAATTCAGTGTTTATTACTCATCCTATAATTTGATGTTAAACAGTCTGAACTAAATACAGCATCGTTAAATAA